CTTCTGCAATTCTCCGGTGATGTGCCTCAACTTTTGTTCCATAATTTTTAATTGTTGCTTTAATATCGAATCCGATCCACCTACTGACGTCTCCATACACCCCATAGTATCTTTAAGAGTAGAAATTTCTAAAGTCTTTAGTTGAATTTCTTTGTTTTTTTCTTCACATTGCAACAACAAATATTGGTTTTTGTCTTTCAAATTTTTGATAATATCCTCGGCTTCGGTATATTGCTTTTGTAAGGCCATGAAATTATTCTCACTGTCATTGCGTTTAGAGAGCTGGCCATTTAAGAGATTAATATCTTCAAGAGCTAAGGTGTACTGCCCCTGTAGTCGCATAAAATTAACTTCCCCATCATTTAGTTGCTTGTATAGTTTATCCATGTTGCTTTCACAACTTTCCAGTTTAGTTTGCAATTCGTCCATCGCCGATGCACTGCCTGCATTCTCATCGAAATTGAGGAATAGTTTTTGCATATTCGCATAGCGAGCACGGCACACCGGACATTCGGTAGATCTGTAATTAATAAACGTATAATGCGTAGATGAACTAATCATCGGCCCATTTTTCTTATTTACCTTCCACGCCAATGTTTAATGCAATTCTCATGGAATACGTGGCCGCAGCTGGTGTTGTAGATCGTGTCCGATGCTTCGAAATTTTCGGTACAGATCACACACAAAATATTAGATGCTGGCGACATATCTGACGGCGTCCGAACAACCAAACAATCAATCTAACAATCAATATAATTCAAATAAAATAAGCGAACTGTTAGCGCAATTATCTCTTTTCACAAAATTCGCGCCTCAATATGCTTAGAAAGCTTAGAAAATTATTGAAATGAACTAACAACCGCTCAACTACTTTTTTTAAATTTCAGAACAACGTCGTCTATGCAAGGGTTTACTCATTTCAAATAAATATTATTTTGTGGTCAGGATAGAGAAGCCACGTTTCAAAACAAAGGCTAAAACAATTACAAAGATATTTAAATAATTAATTTCGATGAAAACTATTTATTTAAAAAAAAAGGTCGGAGTGGTACGATTGGTACTATCAGATAATAAAAAATTTATTAAACTTATCGAAACTCTCTATGTATGGCAATTAACTCCGAAGATACGATACAAAAATACAATTGAAAACACCAAAAGTGAGAGACTGTTCGTGGATTTCAAGCAATCAAATTAAATTAATTTCATTGACTATCCGCCTGAGTGGCCGAGCAGGCAAGAGTCGCGACTAGCAACTCATTGGTCGTGGGTTCAAATCTCAAATGCGGCAGAGTTTTTAATAAAGCCGAAAGCCTAAGATGCATGCTAGTGCTTTTAAAACTTTTACTCTTCGAATTTATTTTCTGGCTAAATTAATAATAATAATAATAATAATAATAATTTCATTGAGAACTATGAACAACGTGCACACATCGAAATTTTATAGGCGTTTAGGGCATGTTTACTAGGTATCCCCTATCGGGATTAGCAAGTCATATGGTTTCGCATATATGTATGCATGGAAAGAAAAAAAAAAAAACAACGCTACTAAGAAATTTATATTTGGCGATGGCCGAATCTCGCTTACCCACCACTACGTTTTTCGCAATCTATTGTCCGAGCTCTTTCATTAAATACCCATACCCGTTAGCGTTATCAAGAAAAAATTAATCGCGGTGTCCTACCCATATTCATTTTAAAATTAACCCATTTTCTTCTTTTAAGAAGTGTACAAAATAGCTTTAAATATTCGGTTTTGTTTGCCTTATGACAAATAAGCATAAAACTTCAAAAAAGTGAAAAAACAAAACAACAAAATTTAATCACTCGTAACTTGGTGTATGTATGGCTGGTTGGTTCCATTTTTGGACTTAAAGAGTAGAAGGTTTCGTTAAATGAACGTAGAAAACGTCAGCGTTCTAACTTTCATAATTTCCGAGTAACGAGCAAAAATCCAAAAATTTGTATTAAAGAAAACATGGTTGCGCTCAGTTTACGCGGCATTGCGCGCTTGCGCTCCGACCGATGTAATCCATTTTCAAAACCAACCTGCGTGCAGAAATTTCCAATGTTTCTACTAAATTTAAAGTCGATACATTCATTTTTGCGACCAGGAGAATGTCAACAACACACACCACACAGGCGGATAGACGGACAGACATGGATAAATCAACTCAGGATTTCACGATTATCAAGAATATATATGCTTTAAAGGGTCTCTGAAGTTCCGTTTTGAATGCTACATACATTATGGGAAAAAACAAAACGGGTATACCCCGATCGTACAGTGGTGGGTATAAAAAAAAAAAAAATACAAAAATCATATTTAGCTTTAGCCGAATTTCGCAATCTATTACACTTCAGTTACTCTAGGCATCTCCTTTTTCAAATTTTCAAAAGTCACCTTCTAAGTGTTTTGTAAAAATGAA